TGCGGGGTGACCATCCCCCCTGGGGGGTGATTTCTTGCTTTCTGTCTCTATGTCTCTCTCTGTCTGTCTGGCGAACGCACGCGCCCTACAGTGAAAATCTAATGTAATTTAAAGAAGTTTTGAGGATAAAAATTAAAAAAAAATAAAAAAAAAATAAGATAATTACAAGGGAGTTTTTCTGTTGAACATTCGTTATTCATAATTCTAAATTGTCCTTGGCTATCTTTTCAGGATAGGAATCAGGTCCTCAAATTGCTTACAATAAAGAATAAAGACTTGTTAATGAAAATTGATGGTGGGAGTGACTTTTTGGGTATTTGAGAATGTTTCTCAGGGGAGATATCAATAGGGTTGAGTTGAATAAGTAGGAGCTCTCAGACATAAGGGCTTTGAAAGACTGGGATAATGACTACAGTCTTACATCACATCGGTAAGGTAACATGGGACTAGATAGCACAGCACAAAGAAAGGGAGCAATGCCTGTTTAAAAAAAAAAACGCCTGATGAGAGATCGAGACCAGGTTATCATGAGTGCTTTGTAAACTGGAAAGCAATTTAAAATTTTAGGTATTTCTTTGGGATCAGTTTACCTAATTACACAGGAGTGTGGATACTTGGGAAATGGTGTTTGATAATCTTAAAACTTGTAGGCACTTAATTTTAGTATGATAGTATTTGTATAACTTTAAATTAGCTTTCTATTTTAAAATCAGGTTTATAAATAGTTGAAAGAGTCATCTAACGTGTAAACCTGTAAACTTCTTTTGAAAACACTCTTCTGATTTTTAAGTCACATGTTATTGCTTCTTCTTGATAATTAATTTTAGGAATTATCTATTGGGTTGCTGTTAGGTAAGATGAGAAATTAGCTCTCATCCCACAACTCTATCCCCTACATCTATTATATATCTCCTGTTAGTAATGGTTATTTTATAGTTATAGTTAGATCAATATTTGGTATTTGTAATATTATGTCTGTTTAAATTTTTTTTTTTTTTGGAGAGGTTTTCGCTATAGGGCACGTGCGCTTGCCAGACAGACAGAGACATAGAGACAGAAAGCAAGAAATCACCCCCCAGGGGGGATGGTCATGCCGCAATCCCTTCTCCTCCATTCTCCTCTTGGGATCTTGGGCACACACGCACACGCACCCGGCGTGAGTTTTAAGCCACCAGGTCCGGGACGCGAACCACGGTCGAGTACGTGGGAGTCCAGCGACATAGCCATTACGCTAACTGCTGGTTCCCGTGTCTGTTTAAATTATTAACAGTTGAGTCATGTAATGTATTATGGTTACTTTTCTTTTTCTGCACAACTTATTTCTCTGGAATTAATAATCTTTTTTTTTTTTTTTTGAGAGAGGTTTTTGCTATAGGGCACATACGCTCACCAGAAAGACAGAGAGAGACAGAAAGCAAGAAATCACCCCCCAGGGAGGATGGCCACGCCCTTCCCTTCAATTCTCCTCTCTGGATCTTAGGAATGTATGCACGTGTGCCTGGCGTGAGTTTTAAACCACTGGGTCCGGGACATGAACCACGGTCGACTACGTGGGAGTCCAGTGACATAGCCATTATGCTAACTGCTGGTTCCCCCTGAACTTACTATTCTTAAGCTCTCAGTTATGCAGTTAAATATAGTAGGTTAGTGAAGTAGCTTTGTATGGTATTTTTATTTTAAAGTGCTGTATATATTTCAGATTCTTTATTCATGAAAGTGATTATGCCAGCACAGGAGAAAGAGAAAGAAGTGAGCCCCATCTGAAGGCTCTGATTATGCCGCAATTCCCCTATTCCAGTCCTCTAACCCATTAGATCCTGGGTATTTGCATGCATGCCTGGTGTGTTTCAGGCTGACCCAACTGGGGATTCAACCTGCAGTTGCCATGTGGTTTTCTTTTGAGTAGTGATGGAGCTGGCTCTAGTGTGCTATATTTCAAAACTATTACTAGTACTTGGACCAGCAGGTAGCATGTGCTATAAACATGCATTTAGCGCATGTGTATTTTAGTGTGCTAAATGCACACTAAAAGGTGGTTGAGGCATTGAATCCCACATGGCCAACTCTGAGGTTTGAGTCCTGGACCTGGCAGATTGAGAAACATGCTGGTTTGCATGTGGTACACCCAAAATCCTTAGAGGATAATGAAGGAGAAGGTATTGTAGCATGACCATCTCTTGGAGGGATGATTTCTTACTTTCCTTTTTTCTCTTTCTCTCCAGTGAGCGCACATGTCCTATGTCAAAAATCTTTAAGACAAACAAAAAAATTAAGACCGGTTTTTTGTGATTGTTTTTGATTTTTTTTTGCTATAGGGTGCATGTGCTCGCCAGAAAGACAGAGGCAGAGAGATAGAAAGTGAGAAATCACCCCCCAGGGGGGTGGCCACGCTGCAATCCCTTCTCCTCTATTCTCCTCTCAGGATCTTGGGTATGCACGCACAAGAGCCCAGCATGAGTTTAAGCCACTGGGTCCAGGACTCAAACTACGTTCAGCTATATGGGAGTTCAGTAACATAGCCATTACGCTAACTGCTGGTCCTTAAGACCTGATTTTAACTAACCTTAATGTCCTCTCTCTTTATTTTAATTGTCAGAGAATACATGCACTTGCCAGAGAAAGTGTGTGTGCATACTCTCCAATGGGCTGTGGTTCCCTATTGCAGTCTTTCTTCTTCTATTTCTCCATCCTGACAGGATTTTGTGTTGCGCACACACATGCACTTTGCATATTTCTTATGCATTTTGGGCTATGAGTCTAACCAGTGTTGGCCATGTGAGATATGACTTTCTATGTACGGTGCTTAACTATTGTTCTGCGGCGCGTTAATGTTCTTAATAGATATAAGGAAACAAGTAGCATTAAGGTAATTTGACATTATAAAGGTCTATGTTAAGTAGTAATTTTTTTTTTTTTTGGAGAGATTTTCACTGTAGGGCGCGTGCGCTCGCCAGACAGACAGAGAGAGACATAGAGACAGAAAGCGAGAAATCACCCCCCAGGGGGGATGGTCACGCCGCAATACCTTCTCCTGCATTCTCCTCTCGGGATCTTGGGCACGCACGCACACGCGCCCGGCGTGAGTTTTAAGCCACCGGGTCCGGGACACGAACCGCAGTTGACTACGTGGGAGTCCAGCGACATAGCCATTATGCTAACTGCTGGTTCCCTTAAGTAGTAATTTTTTAAAAAAGAATTATTTAATTTAATTTATTTATTCATTCATTTTTTTAAAAAATTTGACCAGAGAGAGGGAAAGTGAGAAAGCAAGCCACTAGGTCTGGGACGCGAACTGTGGTCAGCCATGTGTGAATATCCAATTCCTTAACCACCATGCCACCTCCCAGTCCCTGTTAAGTAATGATTTTAAGTATACAGATATAAGAATATTTGCCAAAACTTAAAATATTTCAGTTATAATTGTATTTTAGCAGAAATAGGTGGTTATTTTTATAGTGAAAGTGCAGAAAAGAAATGGTATATCTCAGGACCGTTATGATAATCAACGGATACTTAATTGTCTGGCATAGTTTTCCAGTGTCTGTAGGGATGTGTAACTATTGTACACATAATTTATTGTTCCAAAAGACCTATTTGACTTTTCTACCAGATTAGCTTGTTAGAAAATAATCCAGGGGGCAGCAGATGGCAAATGGTTATATTGCTGGACTTCCACATAGTCGATTGTGGTTTGAGTCCCAGACCCAGTGGCTTAAAACTAACTCTGGGTGTGTGTGTGTGTGTGTGTGTGTGTGTGTGTGTGTGCGCGCACCCAAAATCCCAAGAGGAGAATGGAGGAGAGGGGAATGTGGCATGGCCATGCCCCCAAGGAGGGTGATTTCACACTTTCTGTCTCTGGCAAGCGCACATGCTGTATAGCAAAAATCTCTCCCCACCAAAAAAAATATATATAGATTTTTAAGTCGATAAAATTATATGTATATGTCATGTATGAAGTTTTGAAATATGTATAAAAAGCAGCCAGCTTAGTTTTTTTCCCAAGTTTACTTGACCAAGAGTACTTTAAAAAAAATTATTTATTTATTCATTCATTTATTTTTTAATTTGACCAGAGCAAGAGAGAGGGTGAGAGTGATAGAGAGAGGAAGTGAGAAAGCAAGCCACGAGATTCAGGACTCGAACACTGGTAGGCCATGTGGGAGTGTCCAGCGCCTTAACCATCACGCCACCTGCTGTTCCCTGACCAAGAGTACTTTTTAATGGCATACTTACTAATGTCCAAAGGACTTTACTAAATAATGTTTGTTTGTTTGCAAGTTGTGGGAAGTCCCTATTTTTTCCTGATGTCGTCTTTTTCTCTCTGTTTTTATAGCAACAAAAATGCTCAGCTTTTTCCGAAGAACGCTCGGGCGTCGGTCAATGCGTAAACATGCTGAGAAGGAGCGACTCCGAGAGGCCCAGCGAGCTGCCACACACATCCCTGCAGCTGGAGATGCTAAGTCCATCATCACGTGCCGGGTGTCCCTTCTAGATGGTACTGATGTCAGTGTGGACTTGCCGGTATGTAGGTCTGGCTGAGCTGCAAACTGTGATTAATACTACAATCTTTGAGCTTTCTCCTGATAAGTTCCTAGGGGCATTAGGTAATATAGGTTAATATGGATCAGGCATTATAATGTTTGGGCACTTGGCTCAGGTGGCCTTAAACCAAAAGTGCCTGCAGTGATAGAATTTCTCTCTGAAACTAGTGGCAATTAGCTGAACATTTAAATGATAGCAGTTTACTGGCATGGATTTGTGTGTGTGTGTGTGTGTGTGTGTGTATATGTGTGTATTTTAAATTTGCCAGGTGGCACATGCACTTGGCAGAGACAGAGAGAGGTGAGAAAGTCCTCCTGCACCCCTATGGGTCAGGGTCACACACAGTCCTTCCTCCATTTCTTCCTTCTTTTAGGATTTTGAGCATGTGCACACACATATGCCTGGTATATTTCTCAAACTATTGGAGTCTGGAACTCAAACCACACAGTTGGTCATATGGAAACCAGTTGCTTTAACCACCAGGTCACAGGCGTGCCCTTTGTGTGTTCTTTATGATGTCAGTACATAGTATATAATTAGGGCATTTCACATAATACTTACTGAATGATTATGAAAGCAATAAGAATCTTTGGGGAACATTAATGATACTTAATGTGTACTGTAAGACTTTTAGTTCTAAACTTTCCTGTATTTTTCCAAACTCTCCTTACTTTTCTCAAAACAAAACAAATATTTCCTTCCCAATTTGGTGTGTTTGCAGAAATTTTAATGAAATGAATTGAGAAGAGGAACTGTCATCATACTCCTCTTTCCTCCCAAAGAGCTTTGCATTGTAGGTTTTTTTTCATATACTCAAATCGTTATTTCATGATTGAATATTATGATTATATTTGCATTTGGGATTTTTTTGGTAACTAAAAATGCATAATCATAACTCACGTTTGAAACATTTCAGATATTTGGAAGGGGTTAGCTTATTCCTTACAGGCCTCTTTTTGGAGTGGGTAGCTGTTTTGTTTTTGGGCAGTTGAGTTTTTTTTGACCTAGATACTAATACAGATCTCTTTCTCTTGTCTTTGTTCTGCATTCAGAGACTTACTGTAGATTGTGATGTAAGCTTCACTGGATGATCCTTGATGTTTTCTCTCCTCACAAGCTTTTTTTAATATACATTCATTTACCCAAAGTCAATTTAAAAAGTGTCTTTAGGCTGGTTCCATCAGTGGCGTAATGGTTATGTCGCTGGACTCCCTCATAGTCAACCACAGTTCAAATCCCTGACCTGGCAACTTGAAATTCAAGCCAGGTGCATGTGTATGACCAAGATCTCGAGGGGAGAATGGAGAAGGGAATGCTGCAAGACCATCCCCCCTGGGGGGGTATGATTTCTCACTTTCTGTGTCTTTGTCTTTCCTGCAAGTGCATGTGCCCCATTGCAAAAATCTCTTTTTTTTTTTTTTT